AATTAGGGATTGTTGGCGGACAGTTCTTTCTGGTTCCCGAAGGGCAAGGCTGACCATGAACAAACCCTTTACCCAAGTGGAGTACTGTTTTTCTGCATCTTTAAAACTTCGAGAATAAAATCCAATGGGTCAGGTGGGACCATCAGGTCCTTGCTGCCATAAATGTATGGACAGTCCCGAACTGGCAAATCCCCACTCAATTTGTACGGGATCAGTAGGGTGTATAGGGCCTAGTGATTGGTGTGTGTTTGCCTTAAAAATTAGGAGTTGTAGGGCCTCATCATGGAGAGAGGTCCAATCCCACCTTGCCCTTTTCCACAACAAATCATATAAGGACCTTGCAATTATCAAAAAGTTAGGGATGCGTTTCCTCAAAAAACCTCAGCAAACCTAAAGCATACTGCAGATCTTTCTTATTCTCAGGCATTTTAATTTGGTCATGGGAAGTGAGGATGTCTGGGCGAATATAGACCATTCCTCCCCTCCACCATATTCCCAGGAATTTTACTTCTTGCAAAGTGGGTTGTACTTTTTCAGGAGGGATTTGTAAGTCCAATGACTCTAGATGTTTAATTATGTCTGTTTTGGTTGACTGTATGGGAGCAATTTCATCTCCTGCTACCAAAATGTCATCAATGTATTGGTATACTTTTACTCCCAGTGCGGGAGGAATGAGTGACAGTTCTTGCACCAGTGTGTGATATGCTAGAGTGGGTCAATGTTTAGGTCATTGTGGGAGGTGGGTAAAAGTGTACTGCTGGCCTTCCCACGTAAAAGCAAAACGCTCCTGATCTTGGTCTTGCAGGGGAACCATAAAAAACATGTCTTTGACATCAATAGTGGCCATGATTTGATGGGCTTGTTCTTGTATGGTAGCTATTAGTTCAGCAATATTTGGGACTGTTGCCGTAAGGGGCCTTGTGTTTGCAATTAAGGCATCGGTAGTCCACAGTTAATCTCAAATTGCCATTTGACTTGTGAACTGGCCACACAGGAGCATTGTAAAGGGGAATGTGCCATAATTACTATTCCTCTTTCTTTTAGATTTCCAATAACTGGAGCTATTCCTTCTCTGGCTCCCAAGGTTAAGGGGTAAGGTTTGACATTGGTTACTAGGGAGTGTGAGAAATAGAAACCCAATCGGGTGATTTCCAATCAGAATTTATTATATAATAAAAGCAAATTCAGCGCTGGGTAATCAGGGAGGGGGTTCAACAACTCCCAACGCCTGTCACACCCAAAGAAGACAGTTGTTCTACACTTATTTTCAGCTACTTCATGAATATTCATTATACATAAACATAAACATTACACATTGTTAAGTCAGACTTTTAACAGATATTTTCTTAACAAGAATGTTATCTATAAGCATCCATAATATATTGTTAAATCAGACATTCAGCAGATGTTTGCTTGTTATCTATACAAAGTTATAAATTTTAAGAAAGGTGCTATTATCTAGCTAACTAAACAAAATTCTCTCACTATAAATCCTACACAAGGTAAAAGGGAGGTAACTTGTTTTATCTCTTTATAGGAGCCCAATTAAGTTTTACGATTTGTTTTTCTTTTGTCTCTCCAGGTCATATTGACCTTACACTGTGTGGTGGTTTGGGCTAGGCCTTCCTTGGTGACCAGTTTGTAACCAAGGAAGGGTCCAGATTTACTCAGTATTCCCTACGATTTTTACGTAAGCCAGATTATAAGAAGAAAGGAGGAGAGGCCTTCGCTCTTTTTCCTTCCAGCGGTTTGGAGGTGCAGGTTCCCTGCTGTTGAGTCTGCTGTGTTGGGGAGCGAGGTCTGGTAAGGCCTTGTCGACCTTGGGAGGCAGAGGTTGCCGGTGATCATCCCGGAGCGACTCTTGGTTGTCCCAAGGAGAGTGGTGGGATATTTTCTTTGCTAACTCTTTAGTTACTAGATCTCGGGCTACTGATTGGGATATATATATATATATTATTTTGGTTTTGTTCCCTTTCCCTTCTCCCTTCCCCTTTCCTTGTGAAATTGTATATATTTTAAATTGTATATATTTCAATTGTAACATAAGTGTAAATATATTTATATATATCACTTTAACTGTCTCTCTCTTGTTTCAGGTTTTCTTAGTTGGTTGTTTTTTTTTTCTCCCTCTTCTCCCTGAGGTTTGGGGGGGGGTGACGGACGGACTTCTGGTGGTAAGGTTTGGAGACTTGGCAGGAAGCCAGCTTCAAACCATATCACACTGTTTCCTCTTAATTAGCCCAAATCATTTTCTCAGTTTATCACAATCCCTCCCCTCTTTCTATAAAATTATTGATTCGAGTTTTTTGCTCTAATTTGGACAATATTAATTTGACATTTTCTTCATCCCGGGAGGGTGGAGTTCTGGTGACTAACAGTACTTTGGCACTTTGAGCCGTCTTTGGACCTATCGGCATTGTTGATATTTGCATTCCTTGTACTACAGAAACTATCAATCTAATGAAACAAGGGATTAAACATGGTAAAAATATTATACTGGCCAACGTGCATAACAAAAAGAATCCTACTTTCTTCCACCAAGTTGTTCCTAACAAGTTATCCCACCATTGGCTGTCGAGCATGGAGTTCCATTTTTGTACAGGTACATGAGTCAGTTTTCTGATATCCTTTGCAATATCCATAACTGCCTGTCTATTATCATCAATTTGTAAACAACAATCTGAAGTGTTGAATTTACCACACACCCCCCCTTCCTCAACTAACAGATAGTCTAAGGCAAGCCTATTCTGGTACACAACTGCTCGAGTTTTTGATTGCTGACTTGTGATTAGATCCAGAGTTTGAATTGTCTTATTGGCTACTATTTCCATGACTACCCGAAGGCGGATAATTCTATTTAGCATGTATATGGGGGTTCGATAACCCCAGGTCCCATCTTGGGCCCAAGTAGCTGGTCCGTAAGTAGCAATGATTCGTTCAGGAGGCCATTCATCATCGTACCACTTTTGGGTTCCTCCAATGTCATCCTTTTTTTCTCGGTGTATGGTTCCATAATCATCATACAAGGGTACACCTAAATTCATACCCTTTTTGGGGGGCAGTAAGAAGAACCCCGGTTGGATTATACCTAGTGTACAGACTCCTCTCCAGTCTTTAGGGAACTGTGTATATGCTCCCTTTCCACATATCCAAAATAATCCTTCTGGAGCTACCCATTCTAAATCGGTACTACCTGCTTGGTCCCAATATATTTTTAATTCTTTTATGCTTTCAAAAGGGTTTTTCAAATTTGTTTCATTACACCACCAGCTTTGAGCTTCATCATGCCAAGTACAATCTGCAGTCGTATTGTTAGTCCAATATCCTAATGGGTTTTTTGGCCACCAATATTCTCCTGTGGTATTTATTATTTTCACTGATAGGCATGGGGACTCTCCTACTTTAGTTTTATATGTTTCCCTACCTCTCCGCTCAATGCATTCTTCCCAATTACGTCAGAAATTAGAATCCAACCTTGGGGCCTAGATTCTGATGCTTTCTGGGAGTGATTCCGTTTTAGAATTTCCCATGGAGTGAGACCAGTCCCTTTCCAGGACCACTCTTCTGTCATCAAAGGTCCACTACAAATCCAGCGCTTAGGTAAATTTAAGGTTTGAATAATATGTTCCATTAGATCAATATATAGGTTAGTTCCATAACCTGGGAGTTGCCAATCTTCTCCTAGTTTGTCTTTTAATTTCTGGTATAAGTCACCTGTGTTGGAAGGTTTTCCTTGTGTGGTTCCTTTTAATGTGGTTTGCACCCTCTGTTTTATTATTTCCTCCCTTTTCAAGTCCTGCATTCCACCACCGCCAGAAATGTCCCAATGGCCTTCTTGAGTGAAACAAATCCATTCCTCTCCCTTAGGACAACTAAGTCCCAATCTGGTTCCCCCTTTTCCTAAAGTTTTTACTACCCATAGTTGCCGAGAACATGTGTTGCAAGTGTTCAGTTGTCTAGAGTCATAGCAGACTTTGTTGACAAATGACTGGTAACTTAAGCTTTGAATCATACGGCCTTTATATCATGTAATTTGGTAGCATTTTGTACATTCATCAGACAAGATGTGAGCTCAAAAGCAGCAGAGTATCCAAAAGGGTCCAGCATAACTTAAGCCTCCACGACCCATGCCCGAACGGGGTTGCATCCCGTGACTGGCTGTCAGTGGCAGGTTCAGAGGTTAACCTGGTCTTGCCCCTTTTAGATTTTCTAATTTAATTAAGGTCCGGTTTTTCCGTTTCCAGGTAAAGGTTCACTTTATCTCACAACAACGGGTTCTGTCAGCAAAATTATTATTCCCACTAATCAATCAATATAGAAATTGTTAACCATTGTGACATTCTTTACATGGGGTCTATAAAGTTAAAGTCATCTAGCGGGCAGTCAATTTGGGCTGTTTCTCCAGCAAATTTCATCACACTGTATCTTAATGCTGCATACCAGTCAGTTTCAAATATTTCCCAATTTACTGGTAATAACAATTCCCACCCACAGAACAGCTTATTTATCTGTACTGACTCTAATTGGGGTTGATCTCCTTGCATGTCGCGACACTCAGGGCAATGTATATGTCGGTTAAAGGCCACACAGGACCATTTACGGTGACAGTGCCTACACTGACACTCTACCCAACCATCATGCTGAGCCCACGGATGTTTTATACAGCGTATGCGATCTGGTGGTGGCGGTCCAGGAGTTAGGGGATTTTCTTTTTCAAGGTCACAAGCTAACACAAGGATTGGGTTAACTAAACGATTAGTAAAATATGCACCTGCCCCTCCACTCTGCCAGGGGATGACTCCCTCTTTCCAAGAAACAAACAGCTGTCTCCTAAGAATTTGTCCTGGGGTCAATTGAAACCAGGATCTCAGGCTAGGTTTTATGCAGAAACTTTCAGGAAATACCTGTCGGGCCCTTAAGTCTCTTTGTTCTGGGGATAACTCATTCCAACCTTCGATATGTTTTCTCCATTCAGGTGATGAATTCATAAAGGTCTTTTCTGGAGTTTAAGTTGTAGGTCCCCAGGCGTTGATGACACAGTCCACTCTTTCAGGGGTGGTGGAGCAACAGGTCCTTTCACTCTGGTCGCGTGTGTCCACCCTCGTTCTGCTGTATGCACTGCGGTCTCTGTCGTGAGCAGTAACTGGAAGGGACCTTCCCAAAATGGGGTTAAAGAAGTTTCTTTCCCTCTCTTTATTAGGACCCAATCCCCAGGGTTTATTTTATGTATCTTGAAATCTAATGGTGCTGTTTGGGCTAAGGCTCCTAGTTCTCTTATTTCTGTCAACCTTTTTGCAAGTGTTTGTATGTATGGTCTTAATTTGGTATCAATATTGCAATAGTCACCTACTGCATCCTTTAGCCATATATAAGGCATTCCATAAAGCATTTCATATGGTGATAGACCGAGGTCTGTCCTTGGTTGGGTTCGAATACGCAGTAAGGCCAGGGGTAAACATTTAACCCATGACATCTGAGTTTCAATCATCAATTTAGTTAGGTCTTGCTTCAGAGTCTGGTTCATTCTCTCAACCCTCCCTGAACTTTGGGGGTGCCAGGGAGTATGGTGTTTCCACATGATTCCTAACGCAATTGTTATTTCTTTAAGTATTTTCAAGGTGAAATGAATTCCTCTGTTTGAATCTACACTATATACCATTCCATATCTAGGAATTATATTTTCAAGTAGTACTTTGATTACAAAATTTGTTGTAACCCTTCCAGTAGGTATTGCTTCCACCCAGTGGGTCAGATGGTCGGTTATTACTAGTAGATATTTCCATCTATTCACAGGTGGGAGTTCTGTGAAATCCACCTGTATTCACTCGAAGGGTCGGTATGCTATATCCCTTCCCCCTACAGGAGTATTTCTCATAGCCTTTTTATTCACTTTTTGACATGTCAAACAGTGGCTGGTAACTTGCTTAGCGATTTCGAAAATTCCTATACACCCATAACATTGTAAAAACTGATCACAGAGAGTTGGTGTTCCCCAGTGAGTGGTTTGATGTAATTTCATTAATATTGATCGTGCTATTGGTTTAGAAACCATTTTCCTCCCATCTGCTAAGATCCATACCCCCCCTTCTTGCTTCTTTGTCCCTATCTGTGTTAGTTCTTTCTCTTCCCTCTCTGAAAATACTGGTATTTCTAAGTTCTCAGGCTGTTGTAAGTTTAATATATGCAACTTAGTTATTTCCCCTTTTTCAGTTGTGTCTTTGACCACTTCATCTGCTAAATTATTTCCTCGGATTATGAATGATATTCCCTTTTGGTGTCCTTTTACATAGACTACTGCTATTTCTAGGGGTTTCCTTAAAGCTTCTAATACTTGATTGATCAACTCTTCATGTATTAGTGATTTACCTCTCGTGCTTACTAACCCTCTTTCTTTGCAAATTTTCCCAAATGTGTGCACGACTCCATAACAATATTTCAAATCTGTAAAAATTGTTCCTTTTTTTCCTGTTAATAATTCAAGAGCCCGGTAGAGAGCATACAACTCACACGCTTGTGCTGACCAGGTTGAACTAAGCTTTCCTGATTCTGCAATTGTCATATTATTCCCATTGATGACTGCATATCCAGAAATTCTCTTCCCATCTTTGTATCGGGAGGAGACATCAACGAAATATTTTTCTCCGTTTTCTAATTCCACCTCTTCTAAATCTTCTCTGACTTTGGTTTGTAATTGTATTAGTTCTGAGCAGTCATGCTCTAGTATTTGAGTCAGTTCACTTGGTTCCCCATATAAAAATTGTGCCGGATTTTGATTTTTAGTTACTAGTAGTTCTAAGTCTGGACTATGGATTAATATAGCTTCATATTTTAAAATGCGGGCATCTGTTAGTCATTTTTCCACTTTTTGATTCAGTAGTACTCGTACAGCGTGGGGGGTGAAAACTGTAATTTTTCCTCCAAAGGTGATTTTACGGTTTTCTTCCACTAATATAGCAGTGGTTGCGACAGCTTGCAAGCACACAGACCAACTTCTGCTGACAGGGTCTAGTAATTTTGACAGATATGCTACTGGCTTTCGATGTCCTCCTTTTTCTTGGGTTAATATTCCATAAGCAATTCCTTGTTCTACATTTACAAACTACTGAAAGGGTTGCTTCAGTTCAGGGAGTGTTAGAACTGGAGCTCTGGTTAGAGCTCTTTTAATTTCACCTAGTTTTTCACTATCTTTGTCATTCCACTTCACTACTTCTTGGGTAAGTTTTTCATATAAGAACTTTACTAATCCACTATAACCCTCAATCCACAACCTGCAGTATCCTAATAATCCCAGTAACCTACTTATATCCCTTTTGGTTTTTGGGGGAGCTAGGGCCAATATTCCTCTCACTCTTTCAGCATCTAGTCTTTTGGTTCCCTTATCTAACCAGTGACCGAAATATTTTACCTTTTGTTCTACAAACTGTAACTTCTTCTTGGAAACTTTTAACCCTTTTTCCCTCAGGAAGTTTAAGAGTTGTATTGTGATTTCTCTGACTCCCTCTTCACTTTCCCCAGCAATTAATAAATCATCTACATACTGTATAACCTCTATTCCCGGAGGTTTAGGAATTCTAATAGTATCTTTTCTAGGACCTGTCCAAACAGGTTTGGAGATTCTGTGAACCCCTGAGGAAGAACTGTCCATCTTAATTGTTGTTTCCTCCGTGTTTGCGTATCTTCCCATTCAAAGGCGAAGATATTTCTGCTTTCTTCATCTAGTGGGCAGGACCAGAAAGCATCTTTTAAGTCGACCACCCTATACCATATGTAATTAGGAGGAATATGACTCAAAAGGGTGTATGGATTTGGAACAACAGGAAATCGGGCAATTGTTCTTTTATTTACTTCCCTTAAGTCTTGGACTAACCTAAAGGTACCATCCCTTTTTTTTTACTGGAAATATAGGGGTGTTATGAGGGGACATACAGACTTCTAAAGTTCCATTTGTCAGTAATTTGTCTATAATGGGTTTAAGTTTTACTCTTCCTTCTTGAGAAATAGGATATTGTTTTATTTGTATTGGGTGGTTGGAATCAATGATTTCTATTTTTATGGGGTCTATCTTTAATTTTCCCACTTGGTCTTCTGAGGCCCACACACTGGGGTTAATCTTTTCCTCATCTTCCTCTTTTAGAGTCATTATTTTAACTCTCATTTCTCCTTCTTCTGGCACAACTCCTATTCCCAGGGAAACCTGTAGGTGTCTCCCTAAAAGATTGCAATCTGCTTCAGGTACTAAAAGTAAATCTCCCACTGTAATTTTGGTTTCTCCCTCAATTTGAACTTGTTGTATTATAGGCACTGGGAATCCTTCTCCTTTTACTCTTGGGGCAGTTTCTCTTCAGATGACCTTTCTCCCCACAATAATAACATGCAAGCTCCTGGCCCCTTGGGACAGTTTGTTGGGGTTTTTTCAGACCCCCCATTTTCCTTTCTCCCTTAGAACTCTTCCTCTCATCTGACTTTACACCTTTATGTGATTCTCGGACGGCAACTACTAATACTTTTGCCTTTGTTTTTGCTTTCTCATCATCTCTTCGCACATAGACTTTTTGTGCTTCTCTCAGTAAATCTTCAAGCCCCCGGTGCTGCCAATCTTCTAATTTTTCTAATGTTTTGCGGATATCGTTCCAGGAATTAGTTACAAAGTGGACCTTTAGTACCACTTGTCCAGTTGTAGTTTCTGGGTCGATTCCTGAGTATTGCTGTAAATCTTTTCTTAATCTCTCTAACCATGCACTCCGGGTTTCATCTCTTTCCTGCTGGCTTTTAAATGCTTTTGTGACATTCTGTCCACGAGGCTCAGCTTCCTTAATTCCTCTTATTATTAAGGTGCGATAATCTTCCATGTGTTGTCGGTCTGCGGCAGAATTAGAATCCCAATTGGGAGGATTAACGGGCATTTTATTGTCCCCGGGGGGGCCCAATTGATTCTCCCTATCCCATATCCTTATCCCTGCTGTCCGTATCATCTGTCTCTCTTCCGGGTTGAATAGTATTCCCAGAATGGATTGCATTTCTCCCCAGGTAAATGTATTTGGTCCCAAAAAATTGATCTAGTTGTTCAGCTACTCCTAAGGGATCCTCTAATAACCTCCCCATCTCTTTCTTAAATGCCTGAACTTCACTTGAACTTAGGGGAGCATTTACAAACCCAATTCCCCCTTGCGCTCCCCCCAAAGGCACTTCCCTAAGTGGGTATAATTCTCTCGTTGAGCACACCCCTTCATTTTCCTCACTAGAGCTGTCCTGTTCTACTAAAAGGGTTCTAACTTCCCTTGGGGTGGCTCATCTCTTCTTCCGAGTCTTATGTTTTTCAGGATTTTCACTCTTATGATTTTGCAGGGTAGTGGAGTCTGCAGTTAAAGGAGTTTGTACAGGTGGGGAGTAACTCACAGGCACTGTGGGAACAGCAGCTGAGGGGGGCTGTAAAGAGGGTGATGAAAGGGTCTGTGGAGGGGGTTGTAAAAGGGGTTGCTGAGGGGTCTGTGGAGGGGGTTGTAAAAGGCGTTGCTGAGGGGTCTGTGGAGGGGGTTGTAAAAGGGGTTGCTGAGCAGGTGGATTATAGGGTGGAGGTAAATTGTCTAATGGTTCCCATTTGGTTTCTGTTACTTTCTTTTCGACCTGCTTTTCTTTCGTCAACTTATAAACTTTAGTAGGTTCTGGCCAAACTTCTTCTTTCCAGCAAGTAGCATATTCACTCTCCTCAGAGTTTATCGGCTTCTTGCCGTTTACATAACTGTTGAGGGCTTGGCAGATCCAACCCTCAAATGATCCATACACAGGCCAAGAGATACCATCACTCCTTATTTTTTCTTTAGTCCACTCAATCATGCAGTACTGAATCATTTTTGGTTTTTCTTTATTTTTAGTACTCTCCCTCTTTTCCCAGTCTAAGATCATTACCCCTAGAGGACTGTCTAAGGGTATATCCGGCAATGCCTGCCTGCTCCTTTCCTTCCTGGGGCAACTTATTTACTAATTCCCTGCCCCATATTCCTGAGGTCCCTTCTAAAGTTTTCCTACCTTCCCACCGATCCTCTGGGATCCCTTCTAGGATTTTTCACTGACTCAGTGGTCCTTCCTGAAAAACTCCCACCGACCCCAGAGGTCCACTCATCAGTTCAACCGCTTCATCCCTTCACCTGCTGCACCCCTCACGGGGAGACAGAAACGAGGTTAGAAGGACTCCGCTCTCGGTTCACAGTTACACTGCGTCTCATTCACTCATTCACTCTGACCTCTTTATCCGCCCCCCTGAAGTGATACTCACAGTCCGTTGTTCTCACTCGGGTCTTCGTGCACAAGAATTATGGGCTTTTTGCTGCAGCACTCCAGGAGCTTTTTAATTCCTTGCTTTTATCATATGCATGCGTTACCCTTGGTCCTTGTTGAAATATTAGGCCTGTGAATAGGCCACTGAAAAACAGCAGGCGCGCTCCTATCTCAGGCGCTAAATATCTCCCAGAACACAAAGGGTATCACGTCGGGCGAAGTCACCAAGTTTGTGAGAAATAGAAACCCAGTCGGGTGATTTCGAATCAGAATTTATTATATAATAAAAGCAAATTCAACACTGGGTGATCAGGGAGGGGGTTCAACAACTCCCAACGCCTGTCACACCCAAAGAAGACAGTTGTTCTACATTTATTTTCAGCTACTTCATGAATATTCATTATACATAAACATAAATATTACACATTGTTAAGTCAGACTTTTAACAGATATTTTCTTAACAAGAATGTTATCTATAAGCATCCATAATATATTGCCAAATCAGACATTCAGCAGATGTTTGCTTGTTATCTATACAAAGTTATAAAATTTAAGAAAGGTGCTATTATCTAGCTAACTAAACAAAATTCTCTCACTATAAATCCTACACAAGGTAAAAGGGAGGTAACTTGTTTCATCTCTTTATAGGAGCCCAATTAAGTTTTACGATTTGTTTTTCTTTTCTCTCTCCAGGTCATATTGACCTTACACTGTTTCCTCTTAATTAGCCCGAATCATTTTCTCAGTTTATCACTGGAGGGAGGAAGAGCAGGGGCAGAACCTAACAGACACATATGCTGGGTTTCCTTCCCGAAAGCCCACATTTCTCCTTCCTCGTCAGTCCAAGACCTTTCCTTTCGGAGGTCTAACCCCAATAAATTTATAGGAACTCTTCCTCAAACCATTAGGGTTTCAATTACTCTCTCCTCTCCTGGCAACCAATATCTTACATTTGCTGTTGTCTGGTCTTGGGTGTATCCAAAAGTATCCACAACAAATATATCTTTACGTGAGGGAATGATTCCACACGAAGAGACATCTTCAACTTTGAGGGTGGATACTTGAGCTCCAGTGTCTACTAAAAAGGTTACAGGAATTTTGTGGGGACCAATAGGACAGATTATTAATAAGTCTCCTTTGGAATTTTTGGTAAGTTGTCTAATGTAAAACCACCCTCTATCCCCTGGCTTACCTACTGGGGACAAAGGAAAGTGTTTCCTGCCATCTCCCCTTTCTGTGATCACTCCAAGGAAGGGGTTGTAACAGGAAAACAGCTTTTATTGATCCCTCTTTTGCCAACCATTCTTTAATTAATACCACTAATTTATAGTGGGGTGGTCATCCATTAGGGTCTTTGGGATCCCTGTTTTGGCTCTCACCCCAGCTCACAGGGTAGACATTTGATCAAAAATTGCTTAGATATTACACCAGTTTTCTTGCACCCACTCCATGCCTGGATGGGATGGTTTAGCACCAAATCCATCCAAAAGATTAATGAAAGATTGAGAATCACTTTCCATTTTACAATAAACACACAGGAGTGGTCTTCCCGAGGGGCACCTTGTTTAAGTTACTTTCAGTGTCTCACTCCTCATGCCTCAGGAGGCACCTTATTTTAAACACTTGTTAATACACCTTGCTTTTGAGGGGCATCTTGCATTAATTATAGTACACTTTGCTTTTGAGGGGGACCTTGCATTAATGATACTTTTTCATCAAGCAAACAGTAATAGTATGTACCTTACTTCAGTTACAGTAGATAATCATAAAGGTACCTTACTTCATTTCTTTATTAGAAAATGATCGATGAGCAACTATTGTCTTGGAATCAACACTCTTGCTTTTAGAGTATCGTGTAAACGTGATGCCAAAAAGATGTTCCAATCCACTTAGGTACAAAGAGGCGAAGTGTGCCTCTATCCATAAATGTGGAGAAGAATTTAAGTTCGAATATACCCAAAAGCGAGATTAAGACACAAATGAGGTCAAATGTTGGTATCCAGAACAATAATTCAACTTCATTAACTATAGGAGAGGCAGAGAGAGAAAGAAGGAAAAATAGAGAAAAGTTGGAAAAGCTAAGAATAATTACAAGAAGCACAGGAAAGAGTGTTACCACCACCATGAACTCAGCACTGGATTTCATCCTCGGTGATGGGGCCGAATCTCCGTCAGGTCATTCTTCGTTTTTTTGTCTCTGCAGTGTGAGTGGAGTTCTCACAGCATGTGTTGGCCCTGCAGTGTGTCCTGGGTCCGGCCAGGCTGGTTGTGGTGCTGCGTGGGCAGTGTTGGGGCATGGCTCATGTGCGGGCAACAGTGTCTGCATATGCCGGTCAGTGGCGTCTGCATGTGCCGGGCAGTGGCATGTGTGTCCACAGCATGTGCAGACACCAGCATGTGTGTCCAAGGCATATGCTGGGCAGTGGCATGTGTGTGCCCTCAGCATGCGCCAGTCATGTGTGTGGCAGCAGGGTTTCCCACCTTAGTCCACATGGCACAGCCCCAACCTCTTCCCAGCTCCGTGTGTTTTTGATAATGGGGGGGAATCCCCACAGCCGCTAAGCAAGTGTGGGGAATTCCTGGAGCCAATCTGAGAGTGTGGGGACTGCAGTATGTCCCTGCAGCTTGTGTGGGGGGCAGGGTTTCCCGCTTTTGATCTTCTGCATGGAGTGTCTGATCCCGAGGCGTCTTTGATCTCTTCCCCCAGGTGCATCTCTGGCACTTGCTTATATAGGGTTGGAGGTGCCGTGCCTTACAGCAGGTGGTAGCAACATAACAACAGCACATCCCACATGCACCCAGTCTCGGTACCCCATGCAGGTGCTGCTGTCTCCAGGCTTGAGGTTATTTAACAGTCAAAACAATTTGCTTCTTGCAGTTCGAACAAAAACAAACAGAAGGTAATGTCCTGCTTCTATCAGTTCTTTACAAGCAGTTCATGGAGAAGTGTCTCCTGTGGGAGGGACCCCACACCGGAGCAGGGAAAGGACTTTTCTCCCTGAGCAGTGGCAGAAACAACCTGTGATGAACTGACCATAACCCCCATTCCTCATCTCCCTGCACCACCGGAGGGGAGGGAGGTAGAGCCCAGGAAGAAGGCAGGGGTGGAGGGAAGGTCTTAAGATTACTTCTCATTATCCTACTCTGATTTTGATTAGTAATAAATTCAGTTTATTTCCCCAATTCGAGTCTCTTTTGCCCATGACCATATTTGGTGAGTGATCTCTCCTTGTCCTTATCTCAACTCATGAAACTTTTGGTATATTTTCTCTCCCCTGTCCAACTAAGAAGGGTAATGATAGAGCAGATTTGGTGGGTGCCTGGCATCTAGCCAGGGTCAAAACACCACACCACACTATTTCTGATACAGGCCAAGATGCCACTGGTATTCTTGCCCACCTGAGAACACTACTGGGTCATGTTCAGCTGGATGTCGATCAGCACTCCCAGGTCCTTTTCCACTGGGCCCCTTTCCAGCCACTCATCCCCCAGCCTGTAGAGTTGCATGGAGTTGTTGTGGCTGAAGTGTAGGACCTGGCATTTGGCCTTGTTGAACCTCATACCGTTGGTCTCAGCCCATCAATCCAACCTGTCCAGATCCCTCTGCAGAGCCTTTCTATCCTCCAGCAGATCCACACTCCCACCCAACTTGGTGTCATCCATGAACTTACTGTGGGTACATTCGATCCCCTCATCCAGATCATCAATAAAGATATTAAACAGTATTGGCCCCAATACTGAGCCTCAGGAAACCTCACTAGTGACCGACCACCAACTGGATGTGGCACAATTCACTGCAACTGTGGGTTTGGCCACTCAGCCATTTTTTTACCCAGTGAAGGGTGTACCTGTCCAAGCCATGGGTTGCCAGTTTCTCCAGGAGAATGCCATGGGAGATAATATTGAAGGCTTTACTGAAGTCCAGGTAGACTCATCTACAACCTTTTCCTCATCCACTAGGCGGGTCATCTGGTCATAAAAGGAGATCAGGTTGGTCAGGCAGGACCTGCCTTTCCTAAACCTGTGCTGGCTGGACCTGAGCCCTTGGTTGTCCTGTATGTGCCATGTGATTGCACTCAAGATGATCTGTTTCATAACCTTGCCGGGGACTGAGGTCAGACTAACAGGCCTATAGTTCCCTGGATCCTCCTTCTGACCCTTCTTGTGGATGGGTGTCACATTTGCCAACCTCCAGTCATCTGGGACCTCCCTGGTTCACCAGGACTGATGATAAATGATGGAGAGCAGCTTAGCAAGCTCTTCCACCTGCTCCCTCAGTACCCTCAATATGAATCCCATCCGGTCCCATAGACTTTTGAGTGTCTTGGTGTCACAGCAGGTCAGTAACTACTTCCTCTTGGATTGCAGGGTGCCTATTCTGCTCTGTGACCCTGTCTACCAGTTTAGGGGGCTGGTTGCTCTCAGGATAACCGGTTTTACTCTTAAAGACTGAAGCAAAGAAGGCATTAAGTACCTCAGCCTTTTCCTCATCCTTGGTGACAGTGTTTTCCCCCCACGTCCAATAAAGGATGGAGATTTTCCTTGCCCCTCCATTTTTGTTGATGTATTTCTAAAAACATCCTTGAACTCTTCCTGAGTTGCCCGCCCCTTCTTCCAAAGGTCATAAACCCTCTTTTTTTCCCTGAGTTCCAGCAAAAGCTCCCTGTTCAGCCAGGTCAGTCTTATTCCCTGCCGGTTCATCTTTCAGCACATAGGGATGGCTTGCTTCTGTGCCTTTAAGATTTCCTCCCAGCTCCTCCTGTTTGTTACCTACACTGCTGCATTGGCGTAGATGCACTTGAGCTGGGCTATTGATTTCACCCCTAACACTAGCCTTCCACTCCTAGGCTCATCTCTGTTGATGCCTTAAGACCCTTTTAGTTTTTTATTTTTCTAATTTTGTAAGCTTTATAAGTTTTATAAGAAGCAGCAGCCCTTGTTCCCTCACCCTCTAACACCTTTTAGTTTACACATTCCTTAACCCTCTTACCCCATTCTATGCTCCCCATATCAATCCTACCCCTGAATTCAGTAGAAATATTTAGTCTCTTGTCAAGGCAAGGCCTATGCTTTTTGGGGAACACTCATATCTTGGCCTGAACAACAGAACAGAGTCAAGAACTAGGTGACTGTGTACCCTTTGTGCTCTGAGGATGATGAGAATGATGAAGTAGGTGGTCCCAAAAAGTCACCAGACCCAATTCCCAGGGGTGGGCCAGGGGGTGGATCAGAGCAAAGGCAACGGGATGGACAAAACTTGGATTGGTTAAGCAGTATTATAAAATGTAACATCTCAGGCACAGCCGGCGCGCATCTTGTAACATCTATGCCTTGGCACAATTAAACCCTTTCCTTATCTCACCCTTAATTAACTGCTCCTGAGTTATTTTTTCTTTTAGCATCAACATTTTAGGCATCAGCTGGTGGTCTGTACATGGAAATCAGAGACCTGAGGTTACTCCAGATTGGAAACTTTCATCCTGCAGGAATTCTTCATCAGCCGGCATTTTTGGAGAATTCCCGCAGTGATCTAGGGAAGCCCCAGCTCCACAGAACACCGTAAGGAGCACAGAGGTGAGTTAAGAAAAGGGTGAATAAGGAAAAAGATACCTTGTTTGGTTAGCAGCTGCGGAAGAGTTTTGTGTTTCCGGGAGATAGGGAACACGGGAAGACTGGAAAGGGAACTTAAGACTTGGGCCCGGATAGTCGCGAAAGTCACTTTCCAGTTGGCGAAAAGGGGTTTTTTGCCGGTCCAGATCAGAGCGGTTTCAGCCTAGGGCTGGGTTTCGTTGTTTTGTTTCAGACAGAAGGTGACGCCCTTCTAGTGTGTTTTGACTCTGTGAGGAGCCAGGTGAGGCTCGGGAGCCGGATTGGCTTGGTAGTAGTTAAGTAGCTAAGAGGTTTCAGTAACGGCTTTGAAACCTGAAGATAATGAGTTTGAATCCTAGTGCATGGTTGTGGTTTGTTTGTGTTTTGCAATCATAGGTTGTGCAGATTCAAAGGTTAAAATTCCTAAGGAACCTCCCCTTTGTTTGGTTTCGAAACACTGGAAAACTTTAACCGGTCCTAACACGACTTTAAAGAAGGAAGAACTTTGTAGGCTATCTGTAAGTGCATGGCCTTTGTTTGGACAAATGAGAGGAGTGACTTGGCCGGAATTTGGTTCTTTTGAGCTAGACACAGTATTGAAATTGATTTCGCTCCTTAATGAAGAACAGAAATGGGAAGAGATCCGATATGCAGAATTGTTTATGTTTCTGTTAACACACCCTGGATTGAGAGAAGGACATAAGAAAAACGAAAGCTCAGAAAGGGCAGAAAAATCAGAAATGGGTTTAGAAAAAGGGAAAAAAGGTCGAGTTAAGACTACTCCTGTCCCATGAATTTTATTTAAAAACACAGGGAATGATGATTTAAACATGTTAATGTCGCCCGATGGAAGAGAAAACAGCCCGGGGGGAGCCGGAGCTGCAGGACTGGTGGCCCCTGGACCAGCTTCTTCTGCACAGGCAGGGGTCGGGCAGGCAGAGGTCGTTAGAGGACTCCCTGGTGAGGCCGCACCGGGAGGAATTAAGCAAATCGGAGCCTCTGGAGGAGTTGGCTTGGAGCCGGCGGGAGCGAGTCCTGTCAGAGTAGCCGATAGAATAGAGGCTGTCAGTTTAGCTGGAGTAAGCACAGCGGTGCAGATAAGAGCTATAAGGTCAGGTTTTGTTGAAACTGCTTTCGGCGCAGCAGAGCTGAGCGGGAGTTATACAAATGCTGCGGGGCTAGCTAGCTCAGAGATAATATCTAGTTTGGTCGCAACAGGAGTAACAGCAGGAGAGGCTCCTGGTCCCACGGGGGCAATGAGAGCGGGACCCTCCCTGCCTGTTCCGGTGAGCGTGGAGAGAGCAGCCCGTAGCCTTGCAGCTGCCAGCAGCTTTGCCGGAGCAGATGAAGTTACCATGGTAACAGCGGAAGTGAGCGTGGGAGTAGCAGAGCAAATAAGAGCTAAAGTTGATAGTTCTACTGGTGACGTGATAAGAACTGAGAAGTCTGAAAAGTCAACTTTTATTAGGGTTGCTTTTGGCGTGGTGACACCAGAGAAAGTTATAGATGCGGCATCTGTTGTGGAAGCAAGGGAAACTTTAGAAATCGCGGCAAAAAGCGCCGCCGGAACCAGCCAGTGTAGTGACGGTGGCAGGCGTAGGGGTCGCTGACTCTGACGGTGGCAGTAAAGTGAAGGTGTCGGACCCAGGAGGGGCGACAGCCCCAAGTGTAGGTGTATTTGTGGAACCGAGCAGCCCAGCACCGCAGACGGGTGCTGAGGCCGTTGATTCTATCAGTAGCAATAGCGATATGAGAGCTGTAAAAACGGAGCTGCGTGCCCCGATTGCAGGAAGAACCCCAGAGTTTGCTGCGAACACAGTAGACTGTACTACCGTAGTGACAAATACAAAGGAAATAAGCTGGTTTAAAATGTATGAGGTTAGACAAGAGACGAATGAATCGCCCACAGATTTTTTGAATAGACTGAAGGATGTAATCAGGAAATATACTGATATTAACATAGAGTCAGATCTGGGAAAGAAACACCTGGTATACTTATTTGTAGGACAGTCTACAGATGATATAAGGAAAAAACTGCAAAAGGCAGGTGGTAATGAGAAGAATATTGATGAATTATTGGATATAGCTTGGACGGTGTATCGCAATAGAGAACAGAAAGCGAGTATGGTGGGCGGTGAAGTAATTGTAAGAACAGCCGTTGCCGTGGCAACGGAACTCCCAGCTCAGAGTGCAGGGGAGGTTTTTGGAACGGCCATTACCACAGCGACGGAGCTAGCTGGCGCGGGGAAAAGAAAGTTGTTGCCTGTTTCTGGTGCTGTGGGAATGCGCGTAACAGGGTAAAACCAAGCAAAGTTTGTCCCAGCTATACTAACAGGCGAGAAAGGAGGAGAAGACCCGGGGACAGAGAGAGCGAGACTCGAGCAAGGAGAGATCCCAAAGTCTAAGACCGTGGCAAGCACAGTGAGGCGGGGACAGGTAAAGCTAGTCCCAGTTGTTGCTTTAACTAATGAAGAGGCTTTGGTCCCTGCTAGTGTAATCCAAGCAGGGATGGCAGACGCGACTGCTGTGAAAGTTGCAAAACCGTTAGATGCGACGACACGAGGGAGTGCTGGGGCCACTGACTTTGCAGAGGTGACGGGACCCAGCGCTACCCCTACTATTCCGAGAACTGCCCCAGGTATAACAAGCGCGACCGTAGATCAAATCGTAACAGAGGCACCGGGAGCTACGAGAAAGGCAAGGGCAAAGAGAATGAATGAGTGTGTAGGACCTCTCCCGCCCATGCTGGCTGGCGTGGGGGGGGTGACTCTTTCCCCTGTGGCAGCTGATCCCATGCAAGCAGCTTCAGTGGGTGCAAGTGTTGAGGAGATTTTAAAACCACCCGACGACTTTACGGTTGTCATAGCAATAAGAATGCCTGCTCCCATAACAAGCGGAGCAAGGCCGAGGGCGAGAGCTACCAGTGCCCAGCCTCTTCCAACGTGTAGGAAAGGAAGAGGGAAATCATGTGATGGTTGCAGACGCCGCCACAGCTCTGTGAGAGCAGGGGCAGCGTTGACCACCGGCACAGAGAGAGTAAGTCCAACCACGGGACAATTAGAATCCAGGTTTGGTACGGGAGCTGCTGCCGCTCCTGCAGATGGAGCGGGGGCCGCATCGGGTGCAAGGGCAAATCACTTCCTAACTGTGGCCAATACAAACAGAACTGCTCATAACACCTTGGCAACTGCAAGCAGGAGACCGGTTAAAGGTACAGAAGCTTCAGGAAAACCTAAAACAGTGTCTGTAACTGGAGTCCCAGCCCAACCTGACACGGGACTCTCTGGCTCCACCATTAGGGGCAGAGACGGAGCTGTCGCTCCCCCTCCAGCTCTCCCAAGCCTCCACAATCCACACCTTCCCACCAGACCGAAAAATGGGCGGCAAAATCAGTGTGCATTTCCAACAAACACAAAAGCTAAAAACCGCCAATGTAATATCTGTAATAGGTAATGCTTTGAAAGAAAAATTGAATTATAATGCCATGACCATAATTAAAATTGCAAGAATAAGTAAATCCAAGCCATTCTTTGAACTTTCAAGATTTAAAGTGAGTAAATATTGGGTGATTCATTGATTCTCCTGTATGTTAAAATTGCCTAATCCTTTGTTAAGTAAAAGTTCATTGAAAAAATTAAAAGTTAACGTCAAATTCTGCAAAGAGGAGATAAAAGTTATGATTTTTAATAGTAATTATGTCGAAGCAGTTGTCTTTTTCATACAGGAGAACCGTGAAGAAATCCCTGCAAAAGCTGAGTGCTATCATCCCAATGGTATGGGCCAGCATCACACTCAGACCAAAACTAGTAATTACCAAGAATACTACAAACATAGTATACACCACAAAATTAGAAATCCTATTACCAACATGATGAAGCAAATGGTGAGTGTTCTTTCTGTGAAGAGAGGGGACACTAAAAAATTATCTAGATCTGAAAGAGAAAAAACTGATTTGTCCCCAACAGATGAAACTGAAAGAACTGTAGACCCCTGTCTCCTAAAATTGTCACAATCTCATACCTGTGAATATTTCTACCCTAACTCAATAAGGGGGAGTACTGGTTTATTTTAAATGTAAACTAACAATGTGTCAGAAGTTAACTGTTTGCAGATAGTCTGTTCCAACAAGTAGATCTGAAAGCTGTACCATGAAAATTCAAGCTGAGAGCCATGGAAACAACTTTTGTGCAGAAGTAAACAAATATCTTGACTGCAAATGAAATACACCAGGACCAAAGAGTGTTAAACTGCAATAAAACCAAGAGTGAGTAGACAAAAGCCAACATAAAAGCCTTCTGACACGATTGAAAACTGTTATATAATCAACTTGCGCTAAAGGTGGTACATATACATCATCATGGCTAGACTTCGCGAACGAAGATTTGGGAAGGGCTCTACCCACGTTTGTTGCAAGCGCGTTGGTGGCTAAAAAGGCCAATACGAGATAGGCATGACCGGTTGCAAAAGGCACAACAGGAAGACTCCTTAGATGGTGTATTCTGCAAGGCACGATTCTTTCTGCATTGTCTTTTCTCCTCAAGGGGAATCCTGCGTGCTTTCTCAAAAGCATCTGCAGCGTTATAGATGGTGTGCCTCCAGGCCTCCTGATTGGAGGCCAGAGTAGACCAGTTATGATGATCAATATGGCCCAGGCTGAGATGTTGTTTCAGGGAGTCCTTGTATCTTCTCTTTGGGGCTCCTCTCTTGCGGCAGCCGGTGGCAAGTTCACCATAAAGCAAGATCTTAGGGAGGCGGTGGTCCTTCATCCTGGAGACGTGTCCTGCCCAGCACAGCTGTGTTCTCAGTAACATGGTGTGGTGGGGGGAAACAGTTTTCCCCCTGCAGTTATAAAATGGTAAAACCCCAGGGGGTGGTGAAGTTTTAGCCAATGAGCGCTTCTGCAAAATATAAACATATCACAACCAGAACAGAAGAGAAGGTAGTTGTAGTTTGGTGTTAGAAGGTGTAGCCATGTTGTGAAAACCACGAGGAAGAAGGGGTAGGAGCCCCTCTGGGGGGCTCTGGCCATCCAACCCCGGCTGGGGTCATAGAAACTCAGAAACAGTGTTAGACTGGACTGAGGTCTGTGACTTAGAAGCTGGAAGTTTTGTTTTCCCTCCACCGTGAGCAGCAGAAGCAGTGGCAAAAAAACAACACTGGTCAGAGAAGATGGCAGAGAACCAGAAAAGATAAGAAGCCACAGAGGCATTACAGCCAAGCAGGAGAGACACAGTGTTGTCCGAGAAAAGAGAGCTAGCAGCAGCAGAGAGAACTGAGTTCTACAGAGAAAGTTTGGGGTAAGAACTGAAACTAAAACCCCAAACTCCTTGGAGACCCCTCCTAGAAAAGGAGGAGGAGATGGACTCTTACCTAAAAGAGCCTTTGAAGTGCTACAGCACTGCAGAGGAGCTGAAAAGCTCAAAGCGTCCTCGAAAGCTGGACCAGGACAGCCAAAGGAATGTGGAGAGGGTGACCTTGGCCCCCCCGCTGCTTGAGGCAGAGCACAGAGCTCTGTAGGGAACTTGAATCCCCTGAAGATAAGGAACGTCACGAAGACCCCTGCGCTTCATGATATGACGTGGTGATAGCACCCCTTGTCCTGGGAAACGCAGTCCACGGAAGAAGACCCTCGTTTGGAGACGAGTGGCCGGGGGGGGGCTTGGATACCCCCCTCGTGTGTATTGACAGAGATCCAGCTGCTGCATAAGAAGAAAAACGAAACAGATAGACTGCTACTCTGAAGAAGCTGCTGCCCTGAGTATTGGAAAGGATCTTTCCCTTTTTCCCTCCTGGACTTTTATTTGGAGGGGAGAAGAGATTTGATCCATTGTAAATACTTATATCATGGTAGAGATAATTAAGATTGTATATAATGTATTGTAGTATTTATTTGTACAGTCATTGTAATATATTCCCTTTCCCCAATTCTGAGTCTCGTGTGGTTGTCTGAAAAACTAATCTCACACTGGGTTGAGATGTGGGAGGGGGCTTGGACTAGGGAATTAGATTTTGGAGCTCTCAAACCATGACACATGGCCTCAATACTTGTGACTGCTGCTTGTTCTAGAACAGATGTATTGGTCACATAATCTGACCAGTGGATGTTTTGGATTGTGCAGAGACAGCGTTGATGGAAGCGTTCTAGGAGATGCAGGTGGTGGCGGTAGATGACCCAAGATTCAGATCCATATAAGAGAGTAGACAGCACTATGGCTCTGTAAACACTGATCTTTGTACTTTTCTTCAGGTGTTTATTATGCCAAACTCTTTTATGAAGCTTTCCGAAAGCACTGTATGCCTTTGCTAACCTGTTGTCTATCTCCCCGTCAATCTTACCATCCGAGGAGATGAGGCAACCTAGGTAATTAAACTGATGAACTGATTTGAGTTCTGATTGGCCAATGGTGATGTGGGGATGAAGGAAGACTTCCTGAGGTGCAGGTTGATGGAGAACTTCTGTCTTCTTAAACCTGACTTCCAGCCCAAAGAGCTCAGCGGCGTCTGCAAAGCAGGCTGTTAAACACTGCAGAGCTGCTTTTGTGTGTGCAACAAGGGCTGCATCATCAGTTGTCTCAGTCTGAGGAGACTGGAATGTTTGCTAAGGAGGATGAGTTGTAAGACAGACCAAACTCCTCTCTCTCAGCAATTGTAAATTAAAGATTAAGGGGGCTTTAATCGAGGAAGTGTGGAAAAAACCCCAGAAGAAATAACAACTTTTTATTAAAAGATATACGTATGTTGGCAAAAGTAGTAACAGAACACTCAAAAAAACTAGACAGTAATCCTAGAAAAAAAAAGTCTGAACGAATACTTCTCTGTCCTTTAGCGCAGTCCTAATCGTGGCCTGCAGGGGGCGTTGTTGGGTTGCTGAAGGTGCAGGGCCTGCAGTACCCTGTTGTGGCCTGCAGGGGGCGCTGTTGGATCGCTGAATGTACAGGGCCTGCAGTTCTTGGTTGTGGTCGGCAGGGGGCGCTGTTCGGCTCCGGCAGTCACCACACAGGGAGAGTGGTCCGGAGGGAGCAGTCCCGGACCGCGGGAGAAGCCGAGAAGGAAATGGGGAACTCTTCCCTCAGTGGGGGAAAAAGGGAAGTGAAGCAGTCCACTCCTACGGGACTCACCGCTGTCCCAGGTGACGGGCGTCTCAAAACTCCTCCCTTCTCTCCCGTGGGCACGTAACTCTCTGATGAAACACAGCAGATCCGGGGAGCAGGACAACCAGGCAAGTCAAAGCCAGCAGTCCGAGCTCACCAGGATGAGAAGCCAAAGAAAACCAGATCCCAGTTCCTCTCCCCAAATGCCTGCACACAGACCCCCGTCTCCCTACCAGAGCCAACTCCGCTGTCTGCCCCACCCCCCCCCCCCCCCCCCCCCCCGGCCCGCCACCCCCCCCCCCCCCCCCCCCAAGAGAGTCAGCCACCTCCCAGCCTCCCTGATGTTCCATTAGCAAGGAATGTAGTTCAGCTGGCTACATCTTTTGTAATGCTAATGACCTCCCTTCCCCCTTCCTTATTCGAAACTGTTTCTCTTAGAGGGAAGCAGGGAAAGAAAAAATTCCTCTCTCAGATTTATAACCTATAACATCAGCATAAAGCAGCTCCTGGACAAGATGGTTTAAGGTCTTAGTGTGGACCTTCAGTCGCCTTAGGTTGAATAGGCTTTCATCAATACGGTATCAGATGTAGATACCGTCCTGATCACTGAGGTCTGCTGTGGCCCTTTGGAGCATCATGCTGAAAAAGATTGTGAATAGGGTTGGTGCTAGCACACAGCCTTGTTCCACACCATTAGTTATTAGAAAGGGCTCAGAAAGTGCATTGCCATATCTGACTTGGCCGTGCTGATCCTCATGGAGTGAGATAATAATTTTAAGGAACTTAGGGGGACAACCTAAACATTTCAAAATCTGCCATAGACCTTTTCTACTCATAGTATCGAAAGCCTTAGTGAGGTCAACAAAGGTTACATAGAGACCTTTCTTCTGTTCCCTACACTTTTCTTGCAGTTGTCTGAGGACAAATACCATGTCTGTGGTACTCCTATTGGCTCTGAAACCACACTGACTTTCAGGTAGGATTCCTTCTGCTATAGCGGGTATTAGTCTGTTCAAGAGTATTCTTGCCAGGATTTTGCCAGCAATGGAGAGCAGAGTAATACCACGATAGTTTGAGCAGTACCTTTCTTCTTATAAAAGGTGATGATGACTGCATCACGAAGGTCTGATGGTAGTTCGCCTAGTTCCCAACAGCGCACCACAAACTCATGAAATTTAGCATGGAGTGCAAGGCCCCCATGTTTCCAGACTTCGGGTGGAATTTCATCAACCCCCGCTGCCTTGCCAATTTTCACCTGAGGGATTTTC